CTAAACCTTATAAACCCTCAACCCTATAAACCCAATATAACCAAAGCCTACACCCTAAAGCGGGCAGTGCACTCGTCCAATTCGACAAGACACTCAGGGCTCATGGCACCATGTCCATCAAAGTGAGATTTCAAATCGGCCATCTTATCATGGAGGTCCATGATGTCTTTGACATGCTTCCGGACCGCCTCATCATTCCTTACATATAGCTGGCTAATGTATTTTTCAAACATCGGGATACAAAGAGTACAATCCTTATACTACCGGCATGACATCGCATGTGTCTATGGGCCTAGGGACTTCTGGGCTTCGTCGGTGCCCAGGGCTTGGAGCTTTACGGAAAGATCCTCCAGCCGCCCCTGTGTGCGCAGGATATTGGCCATCACCGTGCGGACGTTCTCGACGGCCTGGGAACCCAGAAGCAGAGGTGGCTTCTACCAAAAGAAATATATGCCCTAAACCCTTATAAACCTTAAACCGTATAAACCCTATATATAATATTATGTACAAGACTCCTTCTAGGAATTTTTGAAACCGATTGCATCATACAAGTTCTGGTTGTGCATGACCATGTAGCTTGGTAACGTGTCAAATATCTGATTGTAAAGAGGACTGCGTGGACTACTATACCTGTATATATAGGGGCTTATCTGGGTGTTAGGGTTTAGTTTTCGTGGGGACTTCGGTGTATCGCGTAGGTTGAAATTGCATGGGGCACCCACTATAGCAAACCAGCAAACCTGCCTCAAGAGCTTTCTCCTCCTCCAGCTCCTGCTTGGCATTTCCTGAGCCTTTGCCCCGACCCGCTTTACGAGCCCTTCCAGCCCCACTGTCCGCTTCATCATCGGACTCATCATCGCTCCCTGAGCTTGCACCACCATCACCATCATGAATGGGCTCTCCGGGATTGATGCCTCCAATGGTGACATCCTCAGGCACGCCCTCCGCTGAAAGGGTTTCGTGCAGGGCTTCAGAAGTGGTCTTCTCGAAGGTGCCCGTGGTTGCTGTGTCTACCCAGTACTCCTTCAGCTTCCGTTGGTATTTGTCACGCCTAGGTAGGGGATCAATCGGCAAAGACGGGGTTTATCCAACCATCAGTAAATCTCAAACAAACTATAAACACTCACTCAGGATCGAACCGAATCAGCTCTTTCGGCTTCTGCAAGCAGTACTGAACGACATCCTTGATTCTGTCCCTCAGTAGACATGAAACACAAAGTTTGCAAGGAAAGATGGCCCGAGTGCAATGACGAAGCTAAGTTTAAGCCAATGTGCTGGGACCAGCCCAGAACCTTCTTCATGGCATCCTTGGTGTACCACCCGCTGTCGACCTTCAGCTTCGTGGCGCGGGACTTGGTGCGGATGTACTCGATTCGCTTGATGAAGGCATCCTTGTGGGCATACTACACTTAAGGCTAGTGCTAGGGGGTTCAGGCCAAGAGATCATACAACATGTGTTGCCATCCTTGTTGGCACCTGCAGCAATAAACTGCTGAAGCAGCAGTTTGCGCTCCAGCCCGCCCTTTCTCCACTGTTGGTAGACTTCAGGGGCCACCTCCAACTTACCCGAACTCCTCTTCGGAGTACAAACTCGCCGAAGGCCAGCATCCAAGGATGCCGCACGTTTTTCCTCCTCCGTACGGACCTGACAGAAATGATCGACTCAAATGCTTTAGCCTTCTAAAGTGATCATGATGCAGTCCTTCTTGGGTTTGCTATAGCCAGGCTCCTCATCTTGTGCAGCCTCAGCCTCCTCCAATGCAATGAGTGTGTACAAAACGACAAATGACGACTGTTTCGATCTGCCTTGGGGTCTTGCTTCGGTTCTGTTGTGGCCTTCCCAGGCTCATGGAGGAGTGGAACCACCGACGAGGTCTCCCGTTGCCACTGGCAAGAAGATGTTGCGGGGGAACATCGGGATGTATGTAGTAGTAGTAGTAGTAGTA